CCATTAACAGTGAATGCGAGGTTTGCCAGAGTGACTTGGAACTTTTCTATGTTGAGACAGATGAATTATAAATACTGCAAACTGTGCCACTGGAAACGCTTCCCTCTGCATTTTGCCTCCCGGGAGGGCCACGGAGGGGAAGAGCACAGGGAGCCCTGCACCTGCTCCAGGGTCAGCACCTCTGTCAGCTCTGGGCCGAGAGTGCTGATGCTGGGGTTTTGGTTCTCCACTCAGCTATTCATACCACCAACAAGGGTGACCTGCCTCCTGATTACCAGCGCCTGGGATTGTTTCCTGTAGCCACAGCTGGCGGGGGCCTCTTGGGCATGTGCCTGCCACCTGGTGCCTTCCCCGACCAGGAGCTTGCAGCTGTATGTGCCGCAGTAAGAGTTTTCAGACAGTATGTGAAAACGTATAGAATGTATGCATTTCCATTTCCTAGGAAAGCAGTAAACCATGGCTTTGATAAAAATAAAACATACTTTCACCCAAATATTGGATACTTATATCTCACAGTGATTTTCACAGAAATTTGTCAAACTCTGTTCACAAGGCATTGAGTACCTAGTACGTACAGAGCCCCACACAAAGGAAATGGTGATAAAAGCAAGATTCTTGCCCTCCAGAAGCTCAGCAGCTGACAGGGAAAATAAGACAGTCCCTAGGTGACTCTGTTACAAGGCAGGCTATGATGAATCCCATGGTAGAGCTGCTATTTGGGGAAAAGATGGGAAGAAACTGATTCTAGCCAGAGTGATTCTGGAAGTCTTGATGGAAGAGGTAACTTTTGAGCTGCATTTTAAAGCACAAATGAATTTTCAGAAGATTCCAATGGAAAGGAGATTGAGGAGTCTCTGAGAGATGCATGGGAAAGATAAAGTGTTAGAGAGTTAGCCATGTGTTCAGAGTATAGAGAAGATTGGGCCACTGACGGAGACCCCAGCCTGGTGGATGGCACCGTGTGACCCGTCTTGTCTCACATATGGGGCTTGAGCTTTTGGGATGCCTGTGACCCTTCTCCCAGCCAATCTCATCTGTGGCTGCTTCCTTGAAGGCAATCCAAGACTGCCTCTCATTGCTATTTGGAAATCTTGCCTATGGAGAATATCGTCAGAGAGTAATTTGAGATGCCTGATGTCTGTTAAACTAATTATGCTTTGGTCCTCAGAGTACCTTGGTGCTCTCAATCTTGAAGGCTCAGCAGATTTTATGTAGTATCTGAATTATTAATGGAGATGATCTGGAAGAGGGGCCTTGGCTGCTTGTTCCGTTTTGAGCAGGTCTTGGGCGAGTGGCATTACAGGAAGAAAGGCAGCTGCTTGCAGAGTGATGGACGAAGCAGGCCTTCCAGAGGAGCCCTGCCCAGACAGGAGCCTGTGCCAGTATGCTCAGAAAATCACGGCCTGCTTTGGAGGGATGGGTAAGACCCCTTAAACATTGGGCTTTGCAGAGAAGATTCCCAGGGTCGATGATGCCGACGAGCAGGACTCATTTTATTTCTTGCTGTAGCCGCGAGCAGAAGCAGCTGCTAGAGGGGAAGAATCTCCAGTGGTCCAAGTTGACATTGGCAAATCTGATAGCACCTCTTCTGGAGCCTTGCTACTTTAAAAAAGTCCTTTCTCTGCTTATTCTTTGCTCAGCAGCAAAGATTATCTTGATGATTGTGAGCAACTGCAGGTATCTCGGGGAGGCTTGTTGAGCAATTTTGTTTGCTTATTTTGATTTTAAAAAAATATCCAAAAACCAACTGACCCGATTATCATCAATAAAGCTGCGGGCTAACTTCAGAGCATTTCCTTAGACAGCCAGATTCCATAAGGATTCTCATTTTAAGGTGTTGCTTGGTCTCTGAAACAAAATTTTTTTTTTTCCTTAGTAAGAAGCAGGTAGATTTTAGTTGATTTAAAAGCAGAGGAGGTCACTTGTCTGGAAAAAAAAGACCTGAATCTGCATTACATATTAAAGACAGTGTTGAGTAACTGCTATGTGGATTGACCTGTGATTGACAAGAGTGATATTTATGGCATACATTCCCTGAGTGCCGTGCAGTCCCCAAACACTTGGCTCTGGGTTGGGTTCATCTCATCAGGTATTTATTAAGCTCCTATAGTACTATAGGCAGAGTACTCAGGGCCTCTTGGTACAGCCTAAAGCTCTTTGGTGAATTTTCCTGCCAATGGTCTTTTTTCATAGCTTATCAAATAACAGTTTGTTTAAGGTGCATTGGAACTGTTTTTAGCAAGATTAGGAACTTCCTAACTGATCAGATATACAGGTTAGAAAAACCTCGGATGAGGATTAAGCATTTGTAATCATCATTAGCTGGGTGTTTACTCTGACCTGTGTGGAGGAGGTTAAGTTGAAAACTCTGGGCACCTGGAAAGTGGAATTTAGTTCACAGGTGACTGGTCACTTCTGGCCCCAAACCTCAGACAGCCAGCATCTGGACTGTCCTGTCTCTCTACTGCCTGAGAAAGGCGCTGGCCTTAGCTTGTCTTTTAAAAGCAAGAAAACCTTTGTCATTGTCACCAGCCCTCTTTAGGATCCCCCCTTAGTTTTCTTTTTACCCTGACATAAAATTCTTGAAATGTATCAGACTTCTCTCACGTAATCCTGTTATTGAGAAAATTAAATGTCATCTTCTCTGTCTCACAGAGACAGAGATTTCTTTAACAGTGCTGGGGATGGAACCCAGGGCCTTGTGCATGCTAGGCAATCAGTCTAACACTGACCTCCACCCCCAGCCCAATAATTGCTTCTCAAACTAAATGTATGGATCTTTAAACTTATCAGAAAATTTAGGAGTGACCCGAGTACATATTGCTGATACAAGAGTTAAGTGGGGAGGTGGGTTAATGCTATACAATTACCGTGCCAAGTTTGGGGACCAAGAAGGTAGAAGAGCTTTGTCATAGAATAGTTCCACTTTTTACTGGTCAGGAAGACGCTGGATTTGAATTTTTAAAAATCTTATATCTGTCCAAAGTTTATGCTGTGTGTTGTGGTTTTTAGTGTGCGTCTGAAGTCACTGCATATTTCCCAGAAAGACCATATAAACCTCATAAACAAGTAGCTACTCAGGTTCTCATTTTGCAAAGAGCAGAGCTGAAGGAAACTGACTGACCACCGCAAGAGGAGTTCATGGTGAAGAGCACAGGTCCCCACACTACAGCGTTTACTAGGAAAACACTCTAGAAGAATCTACTCAGCCTAGGTGGGCCGCAGGAATCTGAATTTTAAACAAATTGGTCCTGGACTACATTTTGGGAAATCATTGAGAAGCTATTTTACATTTCATATCTTCAGAATAGGCATGCAAGAAATATAACATACAGGTTATTTTACATGCCTCATAACCTGTTTTAAGAGGAAACCTGAAAGAATTTTCTTTGGGGAGAAGACTGGTATTTAGGATTTAATTCCCAAACTTTTGTTACAGAAATTTCGAGGTGTGTCTTGCCAGCGTCTCTCATCTCCCGTGTTTCCACTGCCCCAGCTTCTCTCCAGGCCGGGAAGCCTCAGGGCAGTCTCGTTCATCCATTCTTACTGTGCTTCCCATTAGGCTAGAGCAATTCTAGCAAATTTGGTTTCTCTGGTTCTTGAATTCTGTTTCCAAATCCTTCAGTAATAACAGAGGCTAGAAACAAATGAAGCAAGGATTTCTTTTCTTTCTTCATTCGCCCAGAACCTTGGCGGAAGGTTCTGACTACTATGAAAAGAAGAGTTTTGTGTAGGGGACTGGCTCCTCCTAGGCTTTCTAGATTGTCATGCAAAAGTCTCTCGGTTTCTCTGAGGCTTACTAGGGCTTCTTCTGAAATGCTGGAGTAGACCGGGGTTTCCCAAATGCTGGCTCTGGTCTGGGGAACTTTTAGAAATAGGAGTTCCTGGGCTCCACAGAATCTCACGTGGAGGTCTGGTTGGTACCCTAGATTTTGTAGTTTTTGAAAATTCCACAGATGGTTCTTAAGCACAGGGAACCACCGAACTGGATGGTCTTGGAGGGCTTTTCCACCTTGGTAATCTTATTCTGTTTAAAGTATAAAAGTGGTTTTAATGAAAAGAAAATTTTATTAGGACCTCAGAGCCCAGTGAAGGAGCAGTGGTGTGGGTTTGTCCACTTGGACTCGTGACCATTGCATGGTTATAGACTCACATATTATACCTGACATTCCCATGTAGGTGTCAGAGGATAGATGCCCATTACCAGGGCAGTCCTTTGTGTATCAGCCCCTTAATCGAGTGATAACAGAACAGCCTTGTGAAAACCTGGCATTTCTGTCTCCTCCCTCTAATTCTGCTGGTTCTGCAAGAACAGAAAAAACCATGAAACAGCTTTGAAACTATTATTAGCTTTGGACGAGTGGAAAGAGACAGAGGATTTTGATGGCATGAGGGGAAGGAGTCCCCCTGTAGAACATGGAAAGGAAATGATTACTGTGGCCTGGAGCTGGACTTGTCACTAGTTGAAACTGAGGAACTTTAATTGAGGTCCCTGCTCTGTGAGATCTGAAATGCTGGAGAACCTGGAACTGTTACCCTGGAGGTTTTTTTTTTTTTCTCCTTTGTTATGTATTTTTAGATTATATACACATGAGTCTACATGCCTGGGCCTATTCTTAGTACTCTTCCAGATGATGTAGATATTCTAGGAATATTTGCAGAATTCTTTTAGGTTTTGCAGCCCTGTTCTTTTGCTCTAGATTCAGCATCAACCTTGTTTTCAAACATGCATTCGTGTCTCAGACCCACGTAGCCTTGAGTTCCTGGTAGTGGCTGTTTTTATACCTAATCATCTGACTGAGAATATGGAGCCCTAAGCTCTTGAAGGGTAATCTCTTAAATACATCTTTCTTAATCTTCTTTTCTGGGCAGTGCAAGAAAGAGATCATAGGGATTCAGGAGAGCTGAGAGAGAGAGAGAGAGAGAGAACACACTCTGGTGCAGCACAGTTTCTTGGGCTCCTGGTGTCCATTTTTCATTTCTTTCTCATCCATGCCAAAATGCCTTCCTTCCTTGGCTTAAAGTGTCTGGGGAGACTGTGCCTCTCTGAGAAAAGCAAAGTCGCTTCATCTGAGAGAAGCAATACCAGGGGCTCTTTCAGAAGGAGACTGATTGTCCAGGACCTGAGTGTCCCTGGGATGCCCTACTCTGCTCACAGGCAAGCCACCATTGCCTATTTGTTGTTTCTGTATCCCAAGGACCGTGGCCCACCTGAGCACGGGTTGAACAGCTGTGATCCTTTTGGTAAGTAAAAGAGCCCACTCTGGACATGGTTTCGTGTTTTGTGATTGACATAAGTAATAAAGTACTATCTAAACCATTTTTCCCAAAGTGTTCTTCAAAGGAAACACTATCCTTAATATATAATTAATGGGAGGGAGGGTAGAAGAAATGGAGAATGTAACCTAAGTACAGCTACGGAGCTCAACTCTGAGAGTATTTCAGCCCATGATTTTATAATCTCGATAACAAATGTATCTCTTTCCAAGCCTTTACAATTATTAGTTTTAGTAATAGGAAGTGTGATGGAAAAGAATGATCTCTATCAATAGATGTTGTTCTTTCATATAACAAAGGAGGAATAAAGAAGAAATATTGCAGGCAGCTGAGTGATTCTAGTGAAGGGTGACCTAAATAAAGTTGGAGTTCAAACTGTGCTGCCACCTGGGGAGAGCTGTCTTGTGAAATATTTTAAAAGAAAAGAAAAATAGTTTTTCATATTGAGAGAACTTACCGATACTTCTTTTCAGTGATGTTCATTAAACTGTAGCCACTGATCCTTCTGCCAGGGAAAGAAATAGAGAAAGCCAGGTCTGAGGATGGAGTTTTCAGAGTTGGGAGTTGTAATGGTGCCTTTACTGATGACAATGATACCTGCCCATCTGGCCACACCCTGTCAAAATCAGTCCTTGAGTTAGTACAGGAGGCAGAAGGCTATTAGACACAGTCCTTACATATTTTTGTAGTTGAGTCAAGAATGACAGAAAGCATACTAATACCTGGTAATTCTGGGACAGCCAGAGAGGAGGGCAAGATGGCTTTAAGTTTGGGTGAGAAAAAGTAGTTAGCCTATATTAAGCTGTTTCATTGCAATTCATTTTTAACAGTTATTCATATGTTGTATAATTTACTCATTTAAAGTATGCAATTCTGTGTGTTTTAGTACAATCATTGATGGGTGCAGTCATCACCACAGTGAATTTTAGAATATTTTCATTACCTTGAAAAGAAACGCTATACCCTTTAGTTATTCTGTCTGTCCCCACCTTAACTCTTCCAGCCCCATTCCCCATCCTTAAGAATTCACAAATCTGCTTTCTGTCTCTGTAGATCTCCTTATTCTGGAAATCTCATAGGAATGGACTCATATAATATATGGTCTTTTGCATCTAGTTTCTCTCACCGAGTGTAGTGTGTTCAAGGTTCATCTAAGTTGCTGGTGCACTTCATTCCTTGTTGGGGCTGAGCCATATTGCATGGTGTGGATTAATGACATTCTGTTTATCCCTTTCTCAGTTGGTGGATATTGAGGTTGTTTTACCTTTTGGCTGTTATGAATAACACCAGCGTGGACATTCAGGTATATGTTTTTGTGTGGACATGTTTTCAGTTATCTTGGGCACATGCCTAGGAGTGGAATTTCTGGGACCCATGGTCACTCTTTGTTCAAACTTCTGAAAAATTTCTAGGCTATTTTACTAAGTGTCTGCTCCATTTTTAATTTTCACCAGCAACATATATGTGTTCCCATTTCATATATAGGTTCCACCAGCACATGCTCTTATCTAACTTTGATTCTAGCCATCCTTGTGAGTGTGATGTGACATCACACTATGGCTGTACTGAGCTTTTACCAGGACAAGGAAGGGCTGGTGGCCAGCATAGTGCTAAGGCCCGACAGGATTCCGATTCCAACTGATGCTGATGGTGACAGCCCCTTGTAACATGCCTTTACGAGTGATACCTAGTCAACTGCTCACACTGTCAAAATCAGTCCTTTCTCTCTCTAATAGTCTTTACTTCATACTCTAAGCTCAGGCCTTTCAGGGGAGCAAGGAGTGAGGATGGAGAAACCATGGCTTCTGCCATTCCAAAAACACTTTGCTCAGGACCAGGTGACCATGCCTCCTGCAGCTTTGGGCACCTCCCTCAAATATTGGCCCCACATCTGGTGGATGCCTAAAATCTCTTTTTTTGAAAAAAAAAAAAAAACTTATTCCACAAATTAGGATAAAAACCAAGCATGGGGATTTCTGCTGGGGCTAACATTTTATGGTTGATGGCTTTGGTGCTTCTACTGAATACTTCTACTGAAAGAGAGTCAAATCAGATATTTTTGGAATAAGCTGTGGCTGTTCCTGAAAGAGAAGGTCTGTCAGCAGGAGAAGGCAGGAGGTCAGGGATCCAGGTAGAGTGCAGTTGAATGAGAGCATACTGCATGATGGTTTGTAGCAGGTTCAGTCGTGAGAGAACAATAAACAGCATCAAAAATCCCTGGGATAAGGAAAGGGTAAGCCTCACTGGGGCAGCCGCATCTTAGTGGAGGCAGATAAGGAAATCTGGGAGATTAGCTGTTGCTGTGCTTTGAGGTTGGACCTTCCAGAATTTGAATCCTGGCTCTTCTGCTCTCTAAATGTGTTACTTTGGGAAGTTGGTATCTCCAAGTCTCTGTTCCCCTCTCTGTATGTTACGTGGAAGAGTGTACACCTTATATCAATGCTAAGAATAGGTTCCCCACCACCACATGGGACCCTGGGCATTTTTGTGTGTGTGTGTGGGTGGTCCTTGTCTCTAGAAATAATTTCATTTTGTGTGTCCATGACCCACTCTTGTTCAACCATGGGAATGAAATGTCATGCCAACCTGAGGAAGCAATTGCCTTTCAGGCTCTTTTCCTGGAATGGAGCCATCTCAAAGCCCCATACAACCACCAAGAAACTCCATTGGCATGATGCCCAGGACTACTCCAGGCATCTGGTCAACCTCTATCAAGCATGGAGAGATGTAGAAGATGATCATCATTGGAGAGAACTCTGAGGAGGAACCTGAAATGTCCCACCCTGATAGCATTGCTGGTCCTAGATACCAGAAAGGGACTTGGACATTTTTAAGGAAGTCATGGATAGGACCTTGCTTGCCCAGGTCTAGGGGCAGTATTGATTATGAAGGTTAAATGACAACAAGCATATCAAGTGTCTAATATTTTGGCACATACAAACATACACTAAAAGTGATCTACAATAATAAAAATAGTTTATGTTTTTAAAATGATTTTGATGGTTGCCTTCCACCACCATGAAGCAATAGCAATGCAATTTTTGTGTTGCTGGAGCTCAGGTCTGTAAATGCAGCACAGGAAGTGGGATTCTCAGGAAGCCAGTATGTGTGCTCAGCACATCCTGCTTAGGACAGGTGCTCGGAGGAAGGTGCCCCTCCCGCAGTCCTGCTTGTTCCTGTGCTAGCAGAGCACCAGTGAGCTCAGGAGCAGCTCCTGGCAGAGTACTTGGGAATATTTGGCAAAGGCCTCCTGCAGCTGCCAGAAAGGCCTCAAGATGCTGTAGCTTCCTGTTGTTGTCTGATTCTCAGCTCCTGCTTTGAGCTGTGCAGGGCTTCATGCTTCTCCAAGTGTCCCTCTGTCCTTTGTCATGCTCAAAACAACCCTAGGAAGTTGGGAGGGAAGGAACTCTTTTCCCCACTTAAGAACAGGAAAGGAATTAGGAAGAAGCTGGGACATGTGGACAAAACAAATATATCAGTGAACATACAAATCACTTTTGCAAGTGGGTATAACCCTCTGAGGACGCAGCACTGTTGAAGGGGCACAGCTGTCATTCATTGGGCACCTGTTAGGTCTCAAAGGTCATGAAGTATTTTATATTTTTTTCCTCGTTTAATATTTGCAACAATTCAACAAAAACTATTTTTATCCTCATTTTACATATGAGAAAACTGAGACTCATACAGTTAAGAGACCCACCTAAGGTCACATAAGTAGTGAGTGGAAGAGCTAAACTTGGACCCAGGTCTGCCTGACACCTAACTTCATAGTCTTTTTTTTTTAATTATTATTATTTTTTTATTGTAACTTCATAGTCTTGACAATTATGTGGAACTGCCTCTCCATGGGTCATCCACGAGTTCTGGTGAACACAGGCACAAAGAAAGTCAGTAAACAACTTTGTAATTGAGTCCAATAGCAACCCAAATTTGAGGACTTTCATAAAACAAATTGCTTATGTCAGAAAAATTAGCAAAGATTTCTCTTCCCTAATTCATAAATGCACGTTACCTGTAGGGTTTTTTTTTTTGTTTGTTTGTTTGTTTGTTTTGTATTGGTTTTCCCTGCACTCTACTGTAGGAAATTAAAGTTTCAAATCTGAGTTTCTTTCTGTCCTGTTGAGCTCTTAGGTCTAGTACAAAAGAAAAAGCCTATTTAGAGTGATTACCTTCTTGACAAGCAACCAAGAAGAGTCTGGCACTGTTAATCAAAGCTCTAAGGATATCTGGAGAGGGTTCAGTGATTATGTAAGTCAGCTGAGTCCAAATCCCAAAGAAGAATGTTCTGGGCTGAAGGCTGGAGACTGAAGTAGACTTGGCAGCCCCCTCCCTGGAAGAACAATGTATATCCCTGAAGATAGGAAGAAACTCTCCTGCTTCTAGCACCTGATGGGGCCTGCTTGTGTGTTCAGCATGCCCCTAGGGATTGCCTTCACTGGGGATGGTCTCCCAAGACCCCAGCACTTAGACGTCACATAACTGAGAGGACCTCATGTGTACATTGTTGTTTCTCAAAGTGGTGTCAACCAGTCTTCAAACAAACCATAATATCTAACATGTGGTTATTTAACTTTTCTTTTCATGTCCTCTTCTCACTTCATTCACTGCTGTTAGTCCATAACCCCAGACACAAACATAAAAGGGCCCAGGGAAGGTCTTGGGAGTTGTGGGACAATGGCCAAAAGGGACCATTGAGCAGATGCTTCAAGATGCTGGAGTTTTTCTGTAGCATCTTTCTGGGGGTATTGAGAGGCCATGGTGGGGAAAAGATTTCAATTCCTCACAACCCCTAGGCTCAAGTCTGAAGACCCTCAATTAAAACTGAGGTAGATATTTTGCTTGGCTGTGAAAAAAAAAATCCTGGGAGATTGGAAAGAGGATGTCTGCCCTCGCCCCCAGCCTTGCTCTGATGACCCATGGCTTGTCTGTGACTGTTCTGGGATACAAAGTAGTGACAGGCCTGTGCT